CTGCTTTTTCTGTTTGTACCTGGATATCAGGACCAGGGAAAGACAGAAATATGCATCAATTGCATATAATTGAAAACAGCTTTACATCCTGCTCTCTTATTGTCTTTGCTCCAACCAGAACTGGTCCCAGGAATCAGTCCGCTGACTTTAGATAAGCAGCTTTATCCCTGTAAGAACACATCATTCCCCTTTCCCTGAAGCATTTCCAATGAGCTGGTCAGCTCCTGTTCACCATTTCAGCATGACAGAACCATGCCTTGTTGGGAGCAATTTCACTATCCTGAATCATCTCATCAACACTTGGAAACATGTAGCATCAGTCAAACAAAAATGAATGACTGCAGGTCAGTGAAAGACTGTAGTAAGTAGGCCAACTGACACATTAACATAATACAAGCAATTTTAGGAAGGAAAACCTCTCTCTGATAAGGCCCACAATGAGTGACAACAGCAGACACAGGTCTACACATATTGGTCTACACATACAGGTACAAGTTCTGGCCAGAAAAGGCATGCTCAGATTCAGTTCACAGGGAGCCTGTGCAGCACACAGACAGAGGGCAGCTGCCACTGCATCCTCCCAGAGCCCCAACACCACATGGAAATCACATGGAACACTTCTTCCCCAGCACAAGGAAAACCACCCACATGTATAACAGCCTCGCATCAATTCTGAGGACTCGTCAACAGCACTCTAGACTGGGACCCTGATCTCCTGGTGCAAATTCAAGACTGGGCTAAACTCTGCTCAGCAGTCCCTTACCATTTTGGATTGCAGTAAACCACAATAATTATATCTAAAATCAGCACTGCAACAGGTAAAACGATAGGTAAAACAATCACGTAGCTATTGTTCTTCACAGGGTCTGTAAAAGAAAGAGAATAATGTTAAGAAGAAGCTACTTGCAAAGCCCAAAACATGACACAACCACTGCCAGGTCCCACGTGGTTTCTGTTCCTTTTCCCCTACCAGGTGAACAGCTATTCCATTCCTATCACATGCAACGTGACATGTCAGTGTGTTCAACCCTTGTCAGAAATGCACAGCAAGATGCAACACCACATACACAGGCCACACAGAGCTTCAAAGCTTCTACAGTATGCTTGCAAGGGAAAAAAGCTCAACTGCGGGGGGGGGGGGGTTGCGGGGGGAGAAGGCCGGGGAGGGCGCATTTTGGGGAAGGGAGGGGGGAATCCCAGTGCCTGTAAAACTGTGTCGCATGATGCAATGTAATCAATTAAAACAAAACAAAAAGTAAAATAAAGATGTTTGCAGGCAAAATTAAAAAAAAAAAAGCTTCTACAGCCAGTGTCAGCACACATGCTTAGTCATGCAGACATGCACACACAGGACATTCCCACTCCATGTGCCTCCCCCACACACTGCATGCACTTCCTTGCAACAAGCCACCACAAATACCCGTATGCCCAAGAACAATTCCTTCTTCCCTCTGTGAACATCCAAGGTCTCATCTGGCACACCCAGACCGCCTACCCCTGGAACTCTGCCTTCCTTACTCCCCTGGAACCAAGAAGATGAATTTCACTGGCAGAGTCATTCCCAACAACACCACAGTCATGACCAGGGCAATCATGATGAGTTCAATGACTACCCTCCCACTACCAACAACAGCTGGAGGGATTTTGCAGAAGCTGAGCTGTGTTGCACTAAAGATCTGACCTATGTTCTGCCCAGGCACAGGCTCAGGACAAACATAGGACTACTATTTTGCCTTCTACCAGTAAACCACTTACAATAGACCTAGTCCTGCTGGGAGGGATGTGGCAAGGCTGCTTCTTGACCCGGGCCCACCCCTTCTCTTCAGGGCATTTGGATACAATCCTGTCCCTATCCCCATAGAGGCATGCAAGCTTACCACCCCATGCCACAAAGACCATTGAGAACCAATTTCCAGGAGACACAAGCTGATGAGTAGCCCATTTCCACTGGACCATTCTCTCTACTCGAGCTGACCATACCTTCTGCCTTTGAGGAGAGGGACTTAGTCTCGGCTGCTGACTCTGGTTTAGCTGGGTCTTGTCCCAGCTTGCTCCCTCCACCCATGCTTTACCTCTTTCTCCTTCAATTCCCAGTGCAGCGCCTGGCATGCCTGTGAGCCTAAGCTGTAAGTTGCACTGCCTCAAATCGTGGAGTAGGGAACATGTCCAGAAAGAGGCTTACCTGTCACACTCAGTGTGAGGTTGAGTCTCTGGGTGTTGTGTAGGGAAATGTGGCTCACCACACACTGGTACACGGCCCCAGCATCTTCCAGAGGAGACTTCAGTGTCACATAGCTAGTGACATTAAAGGTCCCATCCTCATTCTGGACATGATGACCAGTGAAGATGCCTTCAGATATCGGCAGAGGCTGAGCCGCTTTCGGGGACCAGTTCTTCCATGTTATGTTCACAGAGTCTGGGTAGAAACCACTGCACTTGCACACAATGCGTGTGTATTGCTTTGAGTTCTCCAGGACCTGGTCCTGAAATATTTTGCTGGTTGGAGTAGCTGCCAGAGAGAAGATACACACTGAGTTGGAATGAGGCTTCAACTCTTCCTGCCCTCACTCACTGACTCCTACCACACACACACATCTGCACCTCACTGCTTCTGTAGGAAGACAAGACCCAGTACCTGATAGCCACACTCACTGTACAGATGGACACTGGGGCACAGGTACTTCTGCAGCCATGCCCAGCTTACCTGACTGAGAAACACCTACTAGCCACAGCAGACTCTAGGGAAGGGAGGACAAGCTTATTACCCACCTGATGTCTGACACAGAGAAACACCTCAGGAAGAACAAGTGAACTGAATCAGACTCTGCTTTGACTAAATGTCAAGGCCAGTGCCAGCAGCATGCCACCATGCTAGAGCCCAATGCTCACAGTATGAGTGCAGCTGAGTCTCCTCACACATCTTGCTTCCTACACATCTGGGAGAATCTGCAGAAAGTCTTAGAGCACTGTTGTGGGACACAATGCTCATTGATTCCTAATTTCTGTTACATAGTTTCAGTTAGAAACAACACATCCAGATGAAGCCTATATCATCTGAATTCATGGAAGGTTGGTCTGGCCATGTGAACTGAGGGTCTGGTCATTCCAGATTCACTGAAATGTGGTGAGAGCAACTCCCTGGAAGCACACATCCATCAAAGTGTGTCCTGAGGATGACAAGTGTGCCCTGCCCTTGCAGAATGGCTGGACTCCCCTGTGATGGCTGGGAATACAAAGGCCATGTACCATGATCAGATGGCAGCTCCACTTAGAGATGGCAGAATCACTGTTAGGCAAGAGCAATATCCATCCATATGACAAAAACAAAACAAAACAAAGAACAATGTGTGGCATCAGAGAAATTCCTCAAGCTGATAAAGAACTTTTACCTAAAATCTATGCCCAACATCCTGAGGAAGAAAGTAAAAAATTTCAGGAGCAGGCAGGATGCTCCCTCTACACTCTATTCCTAGTACATTGCAATGAACTCCAGACCAGTAAAATAGGATAGGAACATAAAAGTACACAGACTTGAAAACATGATGAAACTATATTCGTTCATAGATAATGTGATTTATAGATAACAATCACAAAGATTCAACCAAAAAACAAGAAAAAAGGCTTTGAGAACTAGTAAGGATAGCAGCAGCCTCAAGGTAAGAAGCCCATGTACAAAAATCAATTACTTGTCTACAGAACAGTAGTGATCAACGGAACTTGGAGATTAAAATAATGACGTACATTCCTGTACACATGGCCAAAGGGGACATTCGGTCTCCTGGTTCAGGTGCAGGTTAGAATGCCTGTGCCCACACCACGGTACTCAGGCTCAGTCTCTGCACCAACCCCTGATTTCAGTTATCTGCTTTTGCAGGCTCTAGGGGGCAGTGGTGATGGTTCAAGGGCAGGGTCCATTCAACCCAATAGGGGTGAGGACTGAGTCAGCTCCCAGCTGGCCTACTGCCTGCATCACACAATTCAAAGTCAACTAGTAAGGTATCATTCTCTCTCTTTTTCTCTCTGCCTCACAAATAAATGAATAAAAATTTAAACACACATGCAAATAAAAATATAGAGAGAAATATATAGACACACATATAGCCTTTAGGCTTACACACATACACACGCGCGTGCATATATATATTAGACACACCCAGACTCTATAAGAGAAACACACCATAGTCTGCTAAGGAAGACACAGAGAGAAGAAGGCCAGAGGACTCAAAAGAACCAACAATACGGACACCTTGCCTCAGATGCAGCCTTCAAATGGGAGGAAACCACCTGTGCTCTTCAAGCCAACCAGTCTTCATTCATCTCACGCTGCCCCAGCCACTTACCACTAAGTGCAGCCAGGGAGCATCAGCTCTGTTGTCCAAATGCAGGGCTCTTAACTTTACATATGAGAGAAACAAGTAGCAAGTGAGTGGATGGCTCATTTTACTTACCATCACTTCTGAGTCTCTCCATTTTAATGCTTATGAAACATTCCATTCTACATGTCTAAAGATTTATGTATATATGCATATGAAAGGCAAAGTAACAGAAGAGAGAGAATGCATGCTCCCATACATTGCTAAGTCCCCAGATAAACACACAAACCAGGACTAAGCCAGGCTGAAGATGCAAGCCAGTTCCTCCATCCTGGGTCTCTCATGGATGGCAGGAGCCCCAGCACTCAGGTCTACTGGGCTGCTTTCCCAGGAACAAGAGCAGGGAACTACTTTGGGAGAGGTGCAGCTGCACTAAACCAGCAACCTTAAGGGATGCCAGGGGCACAACACACCATGACACAACACGGACCCCACATGCAGCCATCTTAACTGCTAGGCCCAACCCTGACCTCCTATTTCAGTTGATCTGAAGACGTTTCCTACTGTTCCCCACAAGGGCTCAAACACTTTTCATGTCACTGTCTGCAAGAGTTTCCTTTTCTCCCCATCTCACCAGCATCTATTCACCAGACTGCTGGGTAACACACCACACTGGAGCTCAAGATGGAATTTGGGGATGTGTCTGTCCTGTCAGGCTTCATCATACCTCACTCCACTGCACATCTTGCATAACATCTTCCTAAGAATCCCTTTTTGGAAATGGGAAATCCAGGTGCAAGGATGCTAAATGTTTATCTCACTCACTTAGAAGCACAAAAATTGAAGGGGACCACAGTCTAGCAACCCTCTCTTTCCCAGCTGCCTCCCCAAGGAACCTGCTCAGATAAAATGACAACCCACACCCAGTGGGAATAATGCAATAACCACTATTGCTGTCTTCCACTCACTATGTGTCATAGACAGGGGCACATCCAACATTTCACCTGCATCTTCCCAACATGCCATCTCTCCCCACTCCTCCTGGGCAGATGCCATCACATTTGTTTCTAGCAAGGGCACCGAGATTCAGAGGCTTCACACCTTGCCCAGAGTCATCTCACCACCCACCAAAGCCCAGCTCTCTAGCCCACGGTGGGTCCCCAGACCAGCCTCTAACATCCATCCCACTCTGCACCTGCAGCCCCACGGGATCCCGGGCATTGCCCTCAGGCACTCACCCACAACTTCTAGCTGCACACTTTTCTCATCCATCTCAGGGGTGACCACCACCTTACAGAAGTACTCTCCAGCATCACTGAGCTGAATGGCTGGCAGGTGCAGTGAGGCCTCTCCCCTCATCAGCTTCTCCGGAGAGATGTTGGCTCCAGTTCGGTATGCCTTCTCGTGATCTCCATAATACTCAAACACAGGAACTTTCTCCTCTGTTCCTTTCTTCCATACAAACCAGACAACACCCACAGTGCTGATGTCCAGAGCGGGAGAACCAGGAATCTTGCAGATGATGGTGATGTTGTCGTTGAGAAACACGGTCTGAGTCCTCCCTGCCATCTCCACCCGAAATCCTGTGGAAACAGGAGAACTCAGTTACACAGAGACCCTTGACACAAACACGCCTGCAACTCCAAGCAGAACCACATAACTACAAATGCACAACTTCATGAAGTGGACAGGGAATGATTCAGGACACAGGTTCTTTGTCCATGGCCCTGTTACAGCTCCAATGTGGAGAACTTCAAATCCAGGCCCATGCAACCTATTGGTTCCCAGAATCTTTAGCTGCACGCTGTGAAGCATGAGGCCGATGAACACAGCGAGAGGGCAGTTTCTAGCACAGACGTATACGAGGAAGAGCAGAGGATGATGGGCCAAAGGGAAAGCTCACAGGACAGCAGCCAGGCAGGGCTCCTTCAGCAGGAACAGCCCCTCAGAGCAGGGAGCCTGGAGGGTGAGGTGGGCGTGGTTGGTGGCTATGTCTCATGAGAAGTTTTAACAAGGGAATTTGAAAACAGTGTTTGGGGGTGGGTCTCAGGACGGGGCGTCTCATGCCTGGATCCCAGACAGCCGCCATGTGCGTACGGTGAGCTGTTCCTGGGCCTGCTGGGTTCCAGGGGCTGCTTCCTTCAGGGTGAGTAGACCGAGGGGGGAGGCCTCCGGGACTGGGCAGGTCCGGGACCCACCCGCCGCCTTCATGGGGTGGTGAATGGGATTTGGGAGGGGCGCGACCTTGGGCCTGGGTTATTTAAACCTCCAGCAGCCTCCCGGCAGCTGGTGGGTCTCAGGACGGGGCATCTCATGCCTGGATCCCAGACAGCCACCATGTGCACATGGTGAGCCGTTCCCCGTGCGGCCAGTGCGCCATTTGGTGCCAGGCTCCGCCTGCTGGCCGCCCAGCCAGGGAGCTCTGGGGATTTGGTTCTTTGAGTCGCTGCTTAATTAGCTCCAGGTTGAACCCATTGTGCTTCTTGGACCTGAAACAGGCAGTAACTCTTCCTTTGTAAAACTTGTAATCACTAATAATGCCAACCACCAAATACCAGTCCATGTAGAAGCTATGGCTTGGGGCTTGTCCTGCAAAAGTAGCTCCAACAGCTGGCTAATGTGTCAACTGGTAATGGAACAGAGTAGATCAGGCACGACTGAGCAAACCTTAGCCCACAAGTAAAACTAGAAACCAGGAGGGAGCAGAGGTCATGCCGAGCTAGGCTCTTGTACCTACTGGTCTGCGGGAGCCAGGAACGCTAAGCCACAGTGTCTATGGCAGCGTTCGGGACAGGGGAAGGGCTGTGCCAAGCTGAGTCAGAGCATCCATTGGCAGGCAAGTGATCTATGGCTGGGAACAGACCCGGTTGGGGAGCAAAGGGGACAACCCTAGCTGGGCTGAGGTTCCCACCAAGAGGCGCGTGGCCTGGAAGGGGGGCTGCGTTCTGATCTGGAAACAGTTGTAGTCTCCCTTGGCACAAGTGTGGACTGGGATTGGATGCACCGAACCGGGCCGGACCCCAACACCCCCTGGTGTCCTGGAGGACCAGGGCAGATGTGCGATGGACTAGGCAAGGTCTCAAACCCCTACTGAGCCATGTGTGAGCCATACGTGGGTATGGACAAACCATGGCTGGGCTGGAACATCCAACAGCAAGAACCAGATTGGGTGGAAGGCCAGTCAGGAAAAGCCACAGTTCCTGCTATGACAGGAGGTGGACTGAGTAGGGTTGGCTCATGGACCCACTGGTAAGCGTGAAACCTGGCATTGGGAGAGGTTCTGATGGAGGAGCCTGGGCAACTCCTCTGGCAGGACACAGACCCAGCAGGTAAACGCAAGAAACATGATAGGAAACAGCCCAGAAAAGGCCATGGAAAACTACCCACTGGCATACAATTGGCAGACGTGGGGGCAAGACCAGGCTGAATCTGTCCACATCATCCACTGGCAAATCCAGGCACCAGTGTGGGTCGACCCAGGGTCGGTCACAACAAAGACTAGTGCACAATATGGAATGCCAAGGTGAGGTTGCCTGTACCAGAAGGGACCGCAGCGCCCAACCAGCCTGAGAACAAGAAAGGAAGTGGGCAGAGCCGGCAGGGGAATAAGGGAGGGTTCCTTTGCTGGACAGCTACTTCCGCAGGAGAGCATAGGCTGGGATGGGGGCAGACCAGACTAGGCAGAGCTACCACACCTGCATGCCTCATGTGGACTAGATCAGGGAAAAGCCGGGCTGGGCAGATTATTCCTACTGGTGCAAACAAAATTAAAGTGGGCGAGGGTTGTTTGGGCTTAGACGCAGCATCAACTGGAATCTGGGAGTGGGAGAGGCCTGGGAGGGAAATAGTGGGCTCATCCCTCTTGGGTTACCACTTCCACAGGAGGACATAAAACTAAGATAGCGGCTGGGGTGGAATGGGGTGTGGGACAGACTGGACTACTGCTACACTTACTGGCAAACCAGGGTAGGGGGTGGGCCTGGTGGGGGTTATTGCGGGTCGCTCCAACTAGGCTGCAGCTCCCACTGGTTTATGTGAGGGCCACGTATGTGCAGGGCAGAACCAGGCTGGACTGCAACACCCATTGGTTCCAGTGGAAGTCGGGAGTGAAAACAGAACCAACCCAGCAACTGCAACCACCAGCTGATTGGAGCGATGGACGGTGCCAGGCCCTGTACTTGCTAGCACATACAAGAAGTTTCTTTGGAGATCTTCCTAATCTAAATGCTGGACTCAGAACCCTAACCAAGAAAAGAGAGAAGACAGAACAGGTCAACCAACCATCTCAGCTATGATGGACTATGTCAATCAGTGGATTTTTCAAAGACCTCATAGTGCTTGGAGTGGCAACACTGACAGCAATTCATAACTGTTGAAATATCAAAACCACTTGAGCAAGAACCTCAGAGCATGCCCTACATCCGGGACCTGGGGAGGGTGGGAAAACGGGTGGGCCTTCTCCCTTAAATACCCCCCTTTAAACATGAAGGTAACAATATGGAAAACATACTAGTCTTATCCACTTTCCTGTAGCCCTTGAACCTTCTTACCCTAATTAACTATGTAAAAAATGTCAAAATAAAAATCAAAAAAAAAAAAAGGGAAGAAAACAGTGTTTGGGGTTGTGGGGTGAACACATGCTGTATTCTTGACCTCCTCTGCTCCACTGGGTGCAATTATTATGAAAATGAGAAGCTCTATCACGTGTGTGTGTGTGTGTGTGTGTGTGTGTGTGTGTGTGTGTGTGTGTGTAGGGTGAAGAGATGATATCTATCTTAAACATACTCCCAGGAGTGGGTACAGACAACTCCAGCCACCTGGTCTCTCTGCGGCCTTGCAACACAGCCTGCTTCTCCTCTGAGGAATCAACACATTTTGGCTTTTATTGCTTTTTGAGCAGTAAGCATGCTCGCCAGCAAAGGTTAATAAAAAGATTATCTACACCTGACAACCTTGTAGGTCTCTCAATAAAGAACTCAATGCAATGCTCTCTGTCTCTTTCCTTATCACTCTTACTTTCTAGCTCAGCACAACTTCTCAGCTGGGCTAAGCAAGTGCTGTGCTTCATAGGAGGGCCCACTTGTTCTCTCCGCCTTCTGGCCATTCCTGCTCTGACAACTTCAGCCCTCCCTAACACACAAGAAAGCCTCTGCAGCTTCGTCCTTCTCTTGCAAGGTGGTCTGCTTGGCTTTTTTATTTCCTTGGGTTCTAGAATCAGCCCAGCAATTTCTCTAAAGAAGGCAGCTGAGATTCTTTTTGTATTACAGAAAATGTAAAACACAAACAACCTCATTTTCATTTTATCTTGTTTTAGACAGTTTGCATTTTTTAAAACCCATTGATTCCCTCTCCAAAAGGAATTGGGACAATCTAGGCAGTACTACCCTGTCATGGAATAGCAGCCCATCTCGTGAGATACACATGATAATTTGTATTCAACATAACTTATACTTGTGCTGCTACAAACCTTGAGGCCCTAGGACGTTGTGCCACTCATTGTAGCCAGGTCAGGCTGCACCGGAATGTCACAGAGCCAATATCCATATGTGATTACTTCTCATATTGCAAAAGTGATGAATTCCAACACTTTTGTACACTTTAGTTTCCGTACACATGTGGTCTTATCCATCACAGACAATACCCTAACACAGGACAGACTAAGGCTAAAACATGCCCAACAAACCCCCTTCATGTAGATTTGTTGAGCCTGTGTGGAAAGTCATTTGGTGAAGACACAGAAGGAATTAAAAGCAAATTTTTTTCTGTCATTTGTATTATTTTTTATTGGAAAGCCATCCACACTGAGAAAAAGAGAAACATTGAGAAAGCTCTTCCATGTGCTAGGTCATTCCGTAAGTGCTCACAACAGCTGAGCCAATCTGAAGGCAGAAACCAAGAATCTCCTTTGGGTCACCCATGCAGGTGCACAGTCCTAAGCTCTTGGGCCATCCTCTACTGTTTTTCCCAGGCCACACTAGGGAGCCAGATGGGAAGTGAATCAGTCGAGACATGAACCATTTACCATGTGGGAAACAGGCAAATGCTAGGTGAAGATTTAGCCAATGGGCTATCATGCTGGGACCAAAACCAAATTTTAATAGTAACTTTTTCCTTTTGATTTGTTTTCTGCCTTCACATTCAATACCCAGTGTCTGGCTTTTGATCTCAGAACTTCTCTACATAGATTCATCCTAACATAAGGACATGATAAGCAGCCCACACATCCCACATGGCAGTATACCAGTGCTGGCACACACAGTTTCATGGGAGCATAGATAAAAGTGTTCAGCAGCACCAAGTGCCAAACCAGTGTCAGGGTACCACAGGTGCTCTGAAAAAGCCACAACACCCCATGAAAGCCAAGGTGCATCACTGGTACACAGTTCTTGCCAAGTGAACCCACTCTCAAACCATCCTGGGGATGCTATCTCAGCTGGC